TAAAACCAAACAGGCGGCCAGGGAAATAATCACTCTGCCCGTGGTTCCACAGGGGTCCACCGCCACCACCACCCCACACGTGCACGAGAAGAGTGGCAGCTCCCACCCTACACCTGAGTGCCCATGATGCCACCTTCCCTCCAAACTCGGCTCTCGCCAGACCTCAAGTGTCCACAGCTCTTCATCGGATGACCCGAGTCATCACAATTAATGTGTGTGACAATGACAAAGCTGCTAACACGAAGCAAAACCTGAGACCCTAAGGCACAGGCTAACGTGCAACCATAGGAGGTCTCAACAGATTCCAAGCACGGCGCAGAACACACGGAGAAAAAGGCAGGCCAGGAAGAGCTGAACACTATCAGCAAGCTGAACTAGCTGGTACGCAGAGAACACCACAACCTGCAAAATATATTTTGTTTTCCAGTGAACAGGAAGAAGTTCCAAGATAGCCAAGTGCTGGAACGTAAAACAAAGATTCAATAAATTTAAAAGGATTGAATAATCCAAGGGATATGACCCAGCCATGGTGGAATTAGAAATCAATTTTAAAAAATTACAACAGTGCTGTGCAACAGAAACAGAACGCGAGCCACATACACCATCTTAAATTTTCACTTTCCACTAGTCACAAAGGTAAAAGGAGACAAGTGAACTTCATTTTAATATTTTTTTATTCAGCCATACACCCAAAATACTCATTTCAACATGAAGCAACATTAAAAACTGCGCTATTTACATTCCCGCCCCCGTGTCAAGTCTTCAAAAGCCAGTATTTTACAGTTACAGCACATCTCAGTTTGAGCCAGCCCTTTTCAAGTGTGGACAGTGACACCCAGCCAGTGCCCGCCACACCAGACCCCACTGTTCTACACGGCAAACACGTCAGAGTGCTTTCAGTACTCACCCTTTACTAAGTTAGTTTTTTCAAGGAAAAAATATCACATTGAGACAGAACTAGACTGATGTTAATCCATTAAGTGGAGGCTGCTAACTTGTCTCCAAACTCTTGCTCTCTTCATTGACCCACTTTCAGAGGTGCAAAACCCCATCTCCACCCTTGTTCTCACTCAAATGGGTCCTTCTCTTCCCACAAGAGCCACTGGTTACTTCAGGTGTGACATCACTGCTTTTCTCTGCTTCCCTGCAGATGCCAAGAAACACAGAGGTCTTGCACCTGCTGGTGCTCTATTCCCACTCCTCACACTCTGGAGTTCATGGGGGATCTTGTCATCCGGTTATGCTACTGATGTTATCCAAGGGCTTTTGGTTGCTATTTTTATGAAGAGTACAAATAGGGGCTGGAGATTTAGCTTAGTGGCACCAAGCCTGCCTTGAAAGCACAAGGTCCTGAGTTCAATCCCTGGTGCCAGAAAACAAAAAAGTAAAAACAAACCCAAGAAATCCAAAACAAAGTAAACCCCAACTCCCAGAAACACACTAGCCATCACCTTTTTCCCAGAATCTGACTTTGTAAAACATACACACTACTGATGAAAATGAAGTTTTAAAGAGAGATACTATTTTCTGAATGCCCTTCCTTGGACTTATATCCAAACACAACATGGGATAGAGGTGACCCAGGACCAGGGATTTACCTCAGTGGCGTCAAGTCTGCCTCACAAGTACAAGGTCCAGAGTTTGATCCCGGATACCACACACACACAAATGTAGCCCAAAGAAATAATGCAGAATAATGAAGAATAAGGAACCAAGCAAATACTTCTGACAAATAACCAAAACTTAGAAGGCCAGGCAGATGGAAAAAAAAATGGATCCCAACCCGTACTGGCCACCAGGGACAACACTCAGATGAAGAACACAGCCAGAGCAAATGAAATGGGGTACACATCCTGGAGGCTCCCCAGAGACACACAGAACAATCCCCAACCAGGCACACAGGAGCTGTTACTGAAATTAAAATCCATGCAGATAACTGCTGCACTCTTATAGTTAATAAAACAGTGGCCTTGAGTATGATTTTGCAAAACAATGGCAACTCCAAAAATCACAAAATCACAAACTGCCACAACAATGGTCTGCTCCAAAATCACCCTTTTGCCCTGCTTTGGGAAACTGCAGTTGGACCTTAGAAACCCTTCTGCTCTGCCACAGTCTTCACCTGTTTTGTGCTGCTCTCACAGAATATCTGACATGGAATAATTTACAAAGAGCAGAAAGCTACTTCCTATGGTTCTGGAGGCCAGGGCCAGATCCAGGGGCCCATATACAGCAAGGGCGTCCCTGCCCATCATGCCATGGCAGAGGTGGAGGGCGAGGGAGCATGTGCGCAGGAGTAGGGGCCCAACCTGTCCTGCTGCCACGCCCACTCCCCTTGATAATAACTGAGGCACTCACTAGGGTGGCTCTGTGCTCCTCTTTGGGTTCCTCCTCTTAACAGCCCTGCACTGGAAGTCAAGTCCCCAACACAGGATCCTGGGGACACATTCATGCCACAGCACCAGAAGACCCTGAGGGACACTGCCTGATCACAGTAGACTAAGTCAGTAATAACACAAAACCCAGTGGGGTAGACCCTACTAAGATACGAGACTCCAAATGTGCTGAAATATAAAAGCTAAGGTTCACTGTTTAAGACAACTAAAACTTACACTGTATGTTAAAGTTAAAAGTGTATATAATAATTTAGCATGCAAATGTAAAAACCTTTTAATATCAAAGAAAATAAAATTCCAAAGCAATGTAGAGCAGAAGAACAACTGGCCAGGCACAGTGGCAGATACCTACATGCCAGCTACTCAAAAAGCTGAAGCAGGAGGATTACACTTCTAGGCCGAGGCCAGCCCAGGAAACTTAGCAAGGCCCTATTTCAAAACACAAAATAAAGAGGTGGGGATGTAGCTCAGGAGGAGAGTGCCCCGGATTCAATCCCTAGTACCACAACAACAAAGGCAACTTTAGTCTTCCTTATGAATTCTACATAACAGATGTATTACACAGCACCAAAATACACAAAGCAAAAGCTCTAGACAGATGAAAATGAGAGAAATAACTGTAATAGAATTAAAATAGCATTACTCTAGAGTTTATAACCAAAAAACTTAAATTTGCATAATGTAAATAAATTGGCTGATAAGTACACATTCGTGTCTGTCACATGCAAACTGAATAAACTTTTATTTAAAACACCCACAGAACACATTTTAAAGATGTTAGGTCCCACCAGGCAAGGGTGGTGGTGCACGCCTATAATCCCAGCACCTAGGAAGCTGATGCAGGAGGATCGCTAGGAGTTCAATGCCAGCCTAGCTACAGAGCAAGACCATCTCAACCTCCCAAAATAAAAGAAAATAAAAAATAAAGATGTTAGTTAGGTCCCAGAACCTCAATAAATTCTAAAAAGCAAAGATTACATAAATTGCATTTTCTTTACACAATGTAAAAATCCTGTAAGTAGCAAAAAAATTTTTTTTGTTTTAAAAACCAAACCATACAGAAATTTTTAAATATTAACTGCTGAATAAAATGTAAAACATAATGATAAACTACTTAGAAAGCAAGGATACTGGGCCGGGGATTTAGCTCAGTGGCACTGTACCTGCTTCACAAGAGCAACGTCCTGAGTTTGACCCCCAGTTTAAAAAAAAAAAAGAATTAGAAAAGGAGGATATTATTATACATCAAAATGGCTGGGATGTTCATTTTTTTTAACTTAGAGACAACTCAAAAGCCTTCAACACAGTCATTTATATCTAAATCAAGAATAAGCAGAGCCAAAGCCTACCTTACAAGCGCAAGGTCCTGAGTTCAATCCCCCATACCAAAAAAAAAAACAAGTATCATGAGAAAAATGTGGAGAAAACAAAACAAAAATTATAAAATGAGAAATTATCTTAAATCACACAAAAAGAATCATAACTGATAAGTTAAGACACTAGTTTTCTGATGGGAAAAAACTTACCTTTAACAAAATTAATCAAATAGTAAAAACAGGGCCAGGGATTTAGCTCAGTGGCACCACTGTCAGTTTGACACCCAGTACCAAAGAAAAAAGTAAAAATGGTAGAACTAAGAGAAGATATATGTCTCAAAAGTGGCAAAATTAACTGGAAAGAGATTTCTACTAAAGTTTTGTTACAAATAAAATTATTACATTTCAATAAGATGAAAATTCTACTAGAAGAACATAACTTACATACTCAAATTTGGTAAATAATGAAATACATTTTAAAACAGAAAACCTTAAATTTAAAATTGCTTACATTTAATAACAGATAAATCACAAAAGAACCTGACAATTCTCAAGAAATTATTTCTAAACAGAGCTCTAAAATTAAGTTTTACAAGAACAATCTTTCAGTCTTTCATGGAACAAACCACCCCCGTGCAATAATTGCTTAGTGCACAGAAAAATGCACACAGTCATTCCATTTTCTTTGTGGAGCTAGCAAAACCCCAATGTTACAATTTGTACAACAGCCCAAAAGATTTCTCTGCTCATGTGAAAATGTAAACTTACACATTACAGACAAACAAGCCAAATCCTGCAACACCAGCAGGCGGTCACGCTTGAGGACTCGTGACTCCTAGGAAGGACGCGTACTGGACAGCACAAGTCTACAGCCACTGGGGTACACTTTTTTTTTCTTTTATTCATTATTATTTCAGTACCTCCAGTTTTTCCTGATCAGATTTACTTTCCGCCCCAAAGTCACTGAGACAAACATGGCTTTCAAAACCAAGGCCCGAGCGCCCGACAGGAAGGCTGAAACAGTCCCCGCACAGACTGGACTGGTGCTGGTGAGGGGCGCTGGCTCTCCAGGACACCCACAAAGGATGGTAGCATGTCTGTCTGTCTGTAAGCAGTTTGCAATGCACTGAGATTCCACTTTTTTTTGTACTGGGGATCAAACTCAGGACCTTGTGCTTTGGAGGCAGATGTAGTACCACTGAGCTAAATCCCCAGCCCAAGACTCCACTTTTAAAGCTGACATTGTTTCGATTTGTTTTGTTTTTTAGGTATATGAGCACTATTTCAATTTTTGAGAACAAAGTGTCTTTATTAATATTTGTAGATCAATTATTTTAAGCCTATACAATTCAAGTCTACACAAAACGCAAAAATTAAAAACCCTGTAAATCTTTTAATTAAAAAAAATATATATATACCTGGTTCCAGTGATGGTTTAATGCTGGAAAATCTATTAATGTAAGTTACCAACACATCAACCAGGAAAAACTATATCATCATAACAGATGCCCTAAAGGTATACTGACAATATTCCAGAGCCATTTCTAATTCAAAGTCTTTAAGAACTAAAAACAGATACTACTTTTCTAGATAACTCAAAACAGCCAATTTAGAAGAAAAACACGATGCACATTTCCATTAAAACCAGAAACAAAACAAGATCTACCATCAGCATTATCTACTATGGTTTCAGACACAAGCCTACAAAACATGCAATGAAAATTTAATAGAACTATTAGAAGAAATAGCATAAGAAATATCAATGTATTTCCTAGAACACCCAGGAGAAATCACCAGAACCAACTGGCTACTGCATTCCTTTGTTTAGAATGTTCTGATAGGGTCCTGTCTTATGAATGCTCATCTCCAACACTAAGTGTTTGGATTTTAATTGTCATTCTCAACAAACTATAAACCCCACAACACAGGAAGCAAGCCCATTTGATTCACTGCCCTATCTCCAAGACATTGGCACAGGGTATTTATCCAATAAATACTGGTGTGTGAATGAGTTAATCCTAACTCTCTCCCTTTAGTCTCTAATATTTTGAAACTGGCCAGACTTTTTGGTTGAATCCAACATATCATCGGCCCATCATGAGCTTGGAAGAAGCTGACATGGTACTGAATTATTTTATATGAATTGTTATAAAACTAATCTCTCCACTTCCACTCACTTTCCAAAGTCTGTACTTGTGTAATTTTTTTTAGTACCAGTGATGGAATTCAAGACCTTGCGCTTGTGAGGCAGTACAGTCCCCATGAGCTAAATCCCTGGCCCTCTGACTGTCTTGTTATACTAAGAAGTTTGATGACCTTGGTGAAATACCTTTACCTTTGTCAAAAAACAAAAAAAATTTAACAGCACAAAAAAAGTGCTGTAAAAAAGATTATGTCTCTTAAATTGTAATTCAGAAAGCGTGTAAGTCACCAGCAGAGAAAAGGCCCTTCCTACAGTTAATACTGAAAAGGTCTCACAAGATGAATCTATCTTGGGGCCGAGGGATGACTGCTCTGTGCTGAAGCCACAGAGGCCACCAGACACTGATCATCCACGATCACCCCAGAGTGACTCACAAAGTGACAGAGCACACAGTGCCTGGTTTGTGGACACTAATCATCTACGCACTTCAAACAAAAGGCTACATTCTTAATTGTTATATTTTGTTTTTATTCAAGGCTTTAGTCACAGGGAGTACTTTATAGAGTCAGGCTTTTTAAATTAAAAACCAAAACTAAAAAATCTTGCAAATATGACACTGTTGAAAGAATGATCACCTTAATAATTTAAACCCTCATCTGTCCTTTGGAGTTAGATGTCTTTAACACAGGATGTGTATGATCAAGATCATTTAAAATAAACAACCAAAAAACCACAGACAGTGGGTCAGTTTGTCACAAAGATAACCATCAGCATCAGCTGTGTGAGGAAGAAACCCAGCAGTTAATTTGCCCTGCGACAGAACAGAGACTGCACTTCAGAATTTTGACTCTAAAGTCTCCTTCTCCACCACCAAATCAGCGTATCTCTGCTGCAGCTCCTTTTCTCTTTCCTGCTGTCTTTGCACATCTTCTTTTAGACACTAGAAGAGACAGAAATAGTCAATGATTAGTTCATATTTAAGTACACTGAAAATTACTGCATCTTCTTTGAAATAGCTGCATTCATTCATAATTCTTTTTTTTTTTTTTTTTTTTTTTTT